TTCATGTTTTGGTTGTAAACTTTTAAACTTGATAGTTTTTGATATTTTCTTGAACAATTTAGTTGATATTGGTGTTTTTGATTGGTTTTAAATGGGTGGAATAGCATAAATAAGATTGATTTACTTTGTTTACATTTGCTAGAAAATTGATTAATACCCAAAGTCTATGAACCTATAAGATTGATTTACTTTGTTTACATTTGCTAGAAAATTGATTAATACCCAAAGTCTATGAACCTATGGGTTGTACCTGAAAAAAACCAGAAAACCGGTTGTACCTGAGAAACCAATAAACCAACCCCAAAAATTGAGAAACCCAACCCAAAGAGTTTTAAAAACCAAAAACATAAACTGGTAGGTTGGGTTTAGTTTTACCCAAAACCGATCCAAACCGACATATGTTCATGGTTCACCTCTAGCTATCAATTAGTTTTTCAGCTAACAACTAAGTTTTCTGGTCTCCGAAGTTTATATATAAGAATGAATTATGGACTTATGAAAATCAATATTATATATTTTGACAAAGAAAACGTTTTAGATTAACATTTTTTCTAAGCCCATAGAATTATCCAACAAGATTGAATTTACAGTTTTCCTTGTACGCAATCATGCAAATTCACACCTCAGTGCCCACTAAAGATATTTCACGTCTCCTGATACATTTGATCAAAATTGATTCGCCAATTCTTATAATATTCATCACCCCAACATGTCACTACATGCTATTTAATATAAGGCATTTTATATGTATACGTACTTATAAAATTATGTTTCTCAATGTAAAATACACACTTTGGATATGTCGACGAATTGTCTCGAACCAAATTGCAAATGTTAGCTGTAAATTAATTCAAGATACTACTAGAAAAACCAACCCTAACAAGACAAGATATTACTCTCATGTTTTCAATCATTTTAACAATATGAAGTATCAAATTCAAAGATACTTGGATACATTTCTTTGAAAACGAGAAAAACCCCTAAGAGGCAAAGACTATAACCCTGCAGATTTCCTAGTTATAGCGTTAGAGGCCCACTTATTTTTGGCTTCAACGACTTTCAATAGTTGTATTATATTTGTCGACATACTTTTTAATAGTACTTATTAACTAATTTTAAGGTTTTGGACATAAAATCTCTTAAGCTTGACACATCATCTCTAGGTCATCAAAAGATCTAGCAGCCACATCAGCTAAAGCTAAAGGTGAACTTGTATAAGGTAAAAATCAGTTAAATCATAAATGGCATCTATGAACAAAACCTCCTAAATATTACGTATTAACACACCGAAAATCGTTACCGACAAAACTTGTCAAATTTAAAGATTTTTATGTCGAAACCCCGTATTTTTAATAATTACTATTAACTAATGATTTTAGATTAAAAACAATATATATGAAATACGATAGGTTTTTTAGTGCTTGAATTACCATATATTAATTTTACATGTTATAATAATTTTATTAACATGTTTGTGAAATAATTATTCCTTAATAAAAATATAATATAGTGATTTTCAGAAATTAATAATAACTTGTTAGCTTTTTGACTAATCGATCTGATATTTCTACGAATAAATTGTGGTCTATAGTATTCCTTAACAGTTAATACCTCCATGCAGTCGTATGTGCCCACTAGTATGAAAACCAGAACACCATTGTCTTTGATTGGCAATGAATTGGTTTTGTACGTACTTTAAAGCCAAAACAAATAACTATATCAAATCAATAACTTTTTTTATTTTAATATATATTTTTTTTATTGTCTAATGTAAGCTCTTTATCAAAGACTCAAACACCCTCCGGGTCTGATGGGAATGTCAAGCCCACCAAGCAAATTACACCCTTTGATTGCTAAATAAACGTAATATAATGATAAAAAGGGGTATCGATCATCGGGGAAATGGTTGTATTTAATCACCAATGCAATTCAATAGAACTAGTGAAATTAAACTAACTAACTACCATTAAAATAAAGGGGGGGGGGGGTGTTTGATTACTTGAAAACTAAAACACTTGAATAACTAAAAACCTTGCAATTAAGCAAGTTGATGAGATGCTCAAAGATTGAGAATAATTGGTTAACTAAGGCAATTCAACACAATGAATTTTTGTGTTTATCATTAGGATCTAATATAAAGCTTATCCTTCATCCCAAATTGGTTATAGCAATCATGAAGCATGATATGCCAAGATTCCTCATATGTAGTATGGAGGTTGGGGAAGCCCACAACACACCTTCTTAATTAAGATCAAGGGTCAATTGAATCAATTAATCCCAAGAAATCAATTAGCCTTAAGAATGAAGGAATCCCCAATTCCTAGAGGATGTCAAATGCTTATACATCCATAAAGGAGATATGATTCATAAGCTAGAGATGATTTCTACCATCATAAAGCCTTTGTTCTAGATAAATTCAATGATCCAATGCAAAATCAATGAAATAAATCAACTATTGCTCAATCAAATACTAAGCTCATGATCAAAGTATCAAATAAGCATAAGAATTGCAAACTAGAATCATAAACATGGAATAAATTGATAATCAACATAAATCCTTCAAAACCCACAAACATTCATTGGTTTTCAGCCAAAGTCAACCAAATAAGAGTATTAGCCACTCATGGCAACAAAGTAACAACAACAATAATCTAATTGCATAAAGAAACTACCTAAGATTTGGAAACATGAAAGGAAATGATCTCTAGCTCCCAAAATCGCCTCTTGCAGGTCTCCAATGGTGGAAAATCGTGAATGAGCTTCTAGATCTGATCCCCAAGGGTTATGGCAAGCCAAATGGCAAAATGCCCAAACTGGGCAGTTGCGCGGGTACCCGCGCGACGAAAATTCCACCCGCGTAAATGTTGTTGTAATGCTATTGGTCCACCAAGCCACTCCAGCCTTCCACTACCAAAGATTCCTTTGGTCCGCCTCCTTGTCCATGTAATTTCAAATGCACCAATCATCATTTAGCCACCAAATGGATGCTCCAAGCCCAAAATTTGAATTTTATGATCCATCTTCACAAGCCCAAATAATCCAAGCCAATAACTTTCAAAGCCCAATTCTTCCTCTTTGATTCCGCCAAGCCCAATAATGCCTCGGGAGCCCACTAAGCCCGTCTCCAATCAACCCACAACCGCAACAAGCACCGAAAAACCTACAAAATATCTTATGCAACATAAGAAGCACCAGGTACGATCCATACTAAAGAAAAATAAATAAAATACAATGCATTAATGATAAAAAGATCTAAAAATCTAAAATAAACTAATAAAAATAAGGAAATAAAATAAGCTATCAAATCACCCCAAGCTTAAACCTAACTTGTCCTCAAGTTAGCACAAGACTAAAAATGAGCTCGAGATGAACTATCTAAAAAGGAAAAAGAAAGATACCATAGAACTTGGTCAACATCAGTCAACATGGTCAGAATTAGTCCTTCATGGACCCTACGCATCTTCAAAATGTTCCCCGCTTTAGAGCCATAAACCACATTCTCAACCACTTAATGGGCGAATAGATCACGACTGGATGCTGTCGCGGTGTACAAGACAAAGGAAACAGAGATGCGCCCAGTGGGGGCACTTTAAATCACCAATGTAGACCATAGTGCACGAAGGAAAGGCGCCTCCTCACACACTATGATTCCTACATTTGTCAGGCCAAAGTGTATAATAACGAAATAGGGTTTTGCAGCACGGCCTCCGGGCAAACATCCGGTTTCAGAGGCTTCTCCCTTGTACTGTCATTTACAGTCTACCGTCTCATCGTCGGGGCCTTTTCTCACCAAAAATCAAAAATAAAATAAAATAATAAAAATTATACTTAACCTAAATCTAAACCTAACAACCTAAATCTTCAATCTTGAACTTCTGTTATTGGGTCTTCAATCACATTTGCTGCTTGACATCTATTTTGGGAGGTTTTTTTTTTTTTTTCAAAACTAGATATATAACATAAGTCTTGAACTTGGAATCTTGTTCTTCTTTTTGTGTTGCTCTTTTTCTTCATTTTTTTCTTCTTTGTTTTTGTTGCTTTTCTTGAATCATCTTTAATAGGCTATTATTTTCTTCACTTTTTCAAATTTCTTCATTCTTTGTGTTGCTTCTTGGAAGGTCTAAGGATTTTCACCAAGTAACATAGGACTCCAATAGTGAAAACTGAGTGATAGATGGAGGTTAATATGAACACCTAATGATCATTGACAATGTGCCAAGATCAACTAAAAAGGGTGGGAAATGACTCAAAAATGGGTGTTACCGAAAAGACTTGGTCCCAAAAGATGTGAATTGGGGGATCCACTTGAAAGTTCATCAAGCACCTCAATGCAAGGTGTGATAAACAAAATCTATCTAACTATCTACTCTAGACCCCTAGAAAAATGATAACCTATCCTAAAAAGGCGGTGAGAATCTAACTAAACAAGGCTCGGACGAGACTCGGGAGTACTAAGGGGTACTCCCTCCAAAACCAAGATGCGAGTCTTCAATGTCTTCAAAATACCTTACCGGGCTAGTCTTTGCTCGCACACATTGGCATGACCAACCACATCCCTCCGCACCTAGACCCAATCAAGCTACCTGCTTCTGACCCCCACACAAGCGGTCTCAAAGTGGTCTGTGAGGCTCAAAACGTGCCCCATTCATCAAATACAAGGAATTCCATATCAAGACCCAGGACCAATCTATGATTCAATACTTATGACTCGGCGCTATGGTACTTGTAGGGATGAGAAGACAAGAGAGAACAAAAATGCATGAACTTAAACTAGAATGCATCTAAAAAAGTATGAAAATTAGAAAAGAAAGAAAGAAAATATGCAATATTTTTGAATTTTTTTTTCAATTTTTATGAATGCCCTAAATGACTAACTCTAAATGCAACTATATACAACCTAAATGCAATAAAAATAAAAGATTAGATTACCTCAACCCAAGCTTAAAATTAAGCATTGTCCTCAATGCTTAGGATGAGAGTAAGGAAGGATCATACCGGGATCAAGATGGAGGAGGCCCGCGAGGAGGATAACCGTCCTCGGGCCGAAAAAGATACCATAGGTCCTCCATGTAAGTGTGGGTGCGTGCTTGTTGTTCCTCTATGCGTTGGATGGCTGCGGTGTTTCTATTGCCCTGGAGGCGCAAGGAAGCAAGTTGGCTGTAAATATCGAGAGGAAAGTTGTGTGCAGGGTCGGGCTCATTGGGTTGCTGGTATGAGTGGTAGTCATGATGTGGCTGGGAGTGTTCTCGCGAGGGCTGAAAGTGTGACCCGGAGGATTGAGCTGGATGAGGTAGAGGTAGCTGGCGGATTGGGAGATCATAATGGTCTTCGGCCTCGAATGGGCTATCAGCATTGTCAGGATCCACCTGCATGTCATCATCCGCGGCTGCGTCATCATCGTCTGGCAAGTCTTGAGGCAAAAACCATGTTTCGGGGTCATTGGTGGTGAAGGTGGAGATACTTGGATTGGGTAAGATGTAAACTGGGTCCTTGACATGGTTTAGCCAAGAGAAATGTCCAAGAAGATTAGGATGAGGTAAATTTAATTCCATCCGCATGAGAGTAGTGCAATCGAGAAGGTAAAGAGGTGGATCATCCACTGGTACATATTTAGATGCTGGAAATTGAAGGCCCATACCCAAACCAATGAGGGTAATGAGACCTCCAATACAAATGTCACCAGTGGTCTTCGTCCTGAGGCTGTCACATTTGTCTAAAAAGAAGGTGGCGAAATCGGGTAAAGACCAACGGTGGCGCGACATGCAATAGAGAAAATACAACTCAACGGTGTTGATTTGTCCCGGCTCGTGACGAGCAAAGATAGATGTGGATAGGATCCGGTGGGCAATTCTCCAGCAAGGATGTATGATAAACGGGTCTTTTTGGCGACTGGGATTGAACTTGGGCAGGCTCGTGATTTGGGTCCAAAAGTCTACGTTGGGCAAGCTTTTGAATTGAGTCCATTGGTAGCTGTAAATGTCGGAGTTGTAGATGTCATATGTGCCCATGATCTTGTTGAGTTTTTTGTACTTGAGTCGGTGCTGCCGACCCTGGAGTTTGAAAGTGAGTACCCTCGCCGTGTCATTGCGGGCATAGGTGGAGAGGAATTCGATTGTGGGATGCTTGTAGGTACGTGCAGAAAGATCGAGAAACTGGTGCCAACTAATGTGTAAAAATAATTGTCGCAAGTGGTGGTCAAGGCCGAGTTGATCCATAGAATCTTGGTGGTAAAATTTTGCGGTGCAGATTGCACACTTTTGAAGGTTGGATTTGAACTCTCGGCTTTGGGCACTCGTGAGGGTAAGGTTCCCATCACGATCAACATGGTCGGTGGACATTTTCTTGGATGGCCCCGAGGATTGAGCTTCACGCGAAGAACCATGAGATGCGTGAATGGTCTTGTCCCTTGCCATTGTACCTGTGAATAAACCTAGCAAAGACAAAAACTTGAACAAGATTATCCCTCACACTCGCCTCACACCAATCCAATCAAATCAAATAATTAAAATCGGGTAATATTCCAAATTGGCAATTTGGCACAATGCAGTTCAATTCAATCAATTCAAGGCAAGCTAAGACTAATTCTATTTAACCTAATGCATAGCACAAGTCTGGTAAAATTAGAAATTGAATGCAATAAATTAAAAGGGATTACCAACTTTGTGTGTTGAAGTCCGAAAGAAATCAGCAAAAATCCGCACCCAAAGCTTGAATTTTTAGCCCACAAATTAAGTCTTTTGAATCTCCGGTGAGAAACAAAAATTTTGAAAATTTTGGAGAAAATTGGTGGTGGCGGCCGGCGGCGGCGGCGGCCGGTGGTGGGGCTTGGTTTTCCGGTGATAAGATTTTCCCAAATTAAGAGTAGATCGGTGTGCGGTGGAGTGTGTGGTACAGGTTGCCCCAAGAATTTTTGGAATTGGATGGAAGGTTGTGCCGGGATCTACAGTTTTTCGGTTTTCCGGCGAGGAAGAGAAGGGTGGCGGCCGGCAACGGTTTCAGAGTTAAAAAGTGTGGGGTTTAGGCGGAATTAGGTGGGGAAGGTGGTGCTGGTGGAGCGCCGGCGAAGGGAGTAGCGGGGAGGTGACAGTGGCGAGGCTTCGCTTTTCCGATGACGAAAAGTAGACGCGAACGGGGATGCCGACGGTGCTGGAAGTTGCCGACGGAGGGACGGCGACGCGCTGGCAGGTAGCGCCGACGTGCGGTCGGAGAAGGAACCGGTGGCGTAGACAGCAGTGGTGGCGACATGCGGTCGGAGAAGGAACGGGGCTAATCGGTGTTCGTTGCTGACGGGAGGCACAAGGAGGGAAAGGGGACCGACGGGTTAAAGGGGTTATAAGGTTGGGTTAGAATTTTTGGGTCGAATCCGGTTCAAATAGTGGGTATGGGGCGGGTATCCGGGTGAGTTTTGCAATTTAGGGCAAATAAGGTGGCCGCGCAATAAATAAAGTGATTTAGTCTTGGCCGCGCAAATGTCCTGCGCGGGTGGGTATTGGCCGCGCGCAACAATCAGTTTGCACCCCTTGTTTGTGTAATTTGGAACTCGGGACCTGCGCGGCTGGGGTTGGTCGCGCAAAGACTGCGCGGGCACCCACGCAAAAGTCAAATTTTTGGAAATTTTCAAACTTCACCAAAATCACTGGAAGGCTTCTATATGCTTATTTTTATGGCCAACTTCAAATGTAGAAACACCCAAAACTTCAAACGGACATTATTTATTTACATTGCATTTATTTAACGTCTTTGCCAAGACATAGTCCCGCTTCCATCAACTTTCGTAATTTGGTATTTCCAATGTTATGTTGTCGAATTCTCCCATATCAAAGCCTTCATAAAATGGTTTCAAGCAGTGCCCATTCACTTTGAATATTTGATTTGTTTCCAAACTCTTAATTTCAACCGCACCATGATCAAACACTTTTATGACAATAAAAGGTCTGTGCCATCGAGATCGCAACTTTCCCGAGAATAGCTTTAAGCGTGAATGATAAAGAAGAACTTTTTGGCCCGGAATAAAGTGTTTTCGAGTGATGTGCTTGTCATGAAACGCTTTCGTCTTATCTTTGTAGATGCTTGCGTTTTCGTAAGACTCGTTTCTCAACTCCTCGATTTCTTGAAGTTGCATTTTTCGGTGTTTTCCACTTTCTTCAAGATTGAAATTGCACTTTTTAACCGCCCAATATGCCTTGTGTTCCAATTCCACCGGTAAATGACAAGATTTTCCATAGACAAGGCGGAATGGAGACATACCAATTGGAGTTTTGTAGGCGGTCCGATACGCCCATAAAGCATCTTCTAACTTTAAGCTCCAATCTTTTCGGGTAGTGTTGACGGTCTTTTCAAGAATTTGTTTGACTTCACTGTTTGACACTTCGGCTTGGCCATTTGTTTGTGGATGATAAGCGGTTGATACCTGGTGTGTGACACCATATCTCTTTGTCATTGCTTCCATCATTTTATTGCAAAAATGAGTGCCCTATCACTCACCAAGGCTCTCGGTACACCATATCTTGCGAAAATGTTTGACTTCAAGAAGTCAATTACAGTTTTTGAATCATCATGCCGTGTAGCCTTTGCTTCAACCCACTTTGAAACGTAATCAACTGCCAAGAGTATATAAGTATAACCAAACGAAATGGGGAAGGGACCCATGAAGTCGATTCCCCACACATCAAAGATTTCACAAATAAGGATAGGACTTTGAATCATCTCATGCCTCATGGATATGGTACCCGTTCTTTGACATCTATCACAACTCTTGCAAAATAGATAGGTATCTCTTGACATTGTTGGCCAATAGAGTCCGCATTCAAGCACCTTTCGCATGGTTTTGTTTTGACCAAAATGTCCCCCGCATGCATATTCATGGCAAAATTTCAAAATTGACTCGACCTCATTTTGATGAACACACCTCCGTATTAGTTGATCCGGACAATGTTTCCAAAGATAAGGGTCGTCCCATACGTAGTATTTGGAATCACTCTTCAACTTGGCCTTTTGGTGCTTGGTAAAGGCGAGAGGAATTTCTTTAGTAACCAAGTAATTGACAATATCCTCATACCATGGAATGGAATTTGAGATATGGAAGAGGTGCTCATCCGGGAATTCATCAAGGATAGGAGAAGAAGAATCGCCAACATTCAACCGACTTAAGTGATCCGCAACTAGGTTTTCGGCACCACTTTTATCCTTTATCTCAAGATCGAATTCTTGTAAAAGAAGAATCCAACGAATCAACCGTGGTTTGGCATCTTTCTTGGTCATGAGATACTTTAATGCGGCATGGTCGGAATATACAATTACTTTTGTCCCAAGAAGGTATTGCCGAAATTTTTCCAAGGCGAATACAATGGCTAGAAGTTCCTTCTCAGTGGTGGAATAGTTGGCTTGAGCATTATCCAATGTTTTAGAAGCATAGTAGATGACATGTGATGCTTTGCCCTCTTTTTGACCTAAGACCGCTCCAATAGCAAAATTGCTTGCGTCACACATTATTTCAAATGGAAGCTCCCAATTTGGAGGTTGGATTATTGGTATGGAAGTGAGCAAGTCTTTAAGTTTGTCAAAGGCTTCTTGGCATGCAACATTGAAGTCAAAATCGATATCTTTTTGAAGAAGAAGGCACATTGGTCGCGTAATCTTGGAGAAATCTTTGATGAATCTTCTATAGAATCCCGCATGACCCAAGAAAGATCTCACTTCTCTAACACATGTTGGGTAAGGTAGGGTTTGGATGACATCAATTTTGGCTTTATCAACTTCAATGCCCTTTTTGGAGACGATGTGTCCCAAAATGATTCCTTGATTAACCATGAAGTGACATTTCTCAAAGTTTAACACCAACTTTTTCTCTATGCACCTTTTCAAAATCTTCTTAAGGTTACCCAAACATTCATCAAACGAATTACCATACACGGTGAAATCATCCATAAACACTTCGATTATACTTTCAACATACTCGGAGAAGATACTCACCATGCATCTTTGGAATGTGGTGGGAGTATTGCATAATCCAAATGGCATCCACTTGTAAGCAAATGTGCCAAAGGGGCATGTAAAAGTTGTTTTGTCTTGATCTTAGGGAGCAACGGGTATTTGGTGAAAACCCGAGTATCCATCAAGGCAACAATAATGCGATTTCCCCGCCAATCGCTCAAGCATTTGATCAATGAAAGGAAGAGGGAAGTGATCTTTCCGCGTGCTTGAATTAAACTTTATATAATCAATGCACACCCTCCATCCATTTTGAACTCGAGTGGCTACCATTACACCTTTGTTATTCTCCACAACCGTGATTCCCGTTTTCTTGGGAACCACTTGCACCAGACTAACCCATTTGGAGTCGGAAATTGGATAAATCATATATGCATCAAGTAGCTTGATTATCTCCTTCTTGACAACTTCCATCATGGTAGGGTTTAATCGCCGTTGGGCTTCCCTCCTAGGTTTGCAATCATCTTCCATGTGTATCTTGTGAGTGCATACATTAGGACTTATCCCCTTGATGTCCGCTATGGTCCACCCCATGGCCTCTTTATGCTCTTTCAAGATTTCAATCAATTGGTTTTCTTCAAAGTCTTTCAATTGAGAAGAGATAATCATCGGTAAAGTCCCATCTTGACCTAGATAAGCATATTTCAAATGGATAGGTAAAGCTTTCAACTCAAGTGTGGGTGGTTGGATTATGGAAGGTGGCATCTTGATTGGAGAATGAAATAAGGCAACTTGAGAAACATACTTCTTTGTGGAATTAGTAATTTCTAAAGCCTTCACAATATTTTCGACTTCGG